AAGAGAGTCTCAGCACTGACTTGAATTGTAGGTATCAATGTTAAAAGAATCTGAGAACTCCTGTTCTGAACCATGTATAAAAAGAGGTGGTTTGACACACACCCCTCTGTCTGCAGATTACAGTGTGACTGCACACTCCCAGCTGGTCATTGTCACTGCTGGTGCCCGTCAGCAAGAAGGAGAGAGCCGCCTTAACTTGGTGCAGCGCAACGTGAATATCTTCAAGTTCATCATTCCCAATGTTGTTAAATACAGCCCTGACTGCAAGCTGCTTATCGTCTCAAACCCAGGTTTGTCTTGCGTTGCCTTAATAAAATGACTTTGCTTAGAAAATAGTGTTTTCTTCAGCAAGGGGGTGGCAGTACATTAATATGAACAAGTACAGGCTTTTAGAAAATACTTGTGTCAAATAAGCACGTAGCAAGATGTCATCCTCCCTCTTGGCACTCAATAAATTGGCTCTCTGAGAATCAGACCAAGTTCCTTCCAACATACATCTTCAGCTGCTTTGTAAATGACCTTTAGCGCATGAAGTGAGGGGCACTGACAATTGCACGCATAGCATAAACAGCCTGACATAACTAATTTGCAGAAAAAATCCTTACAGGTGAATGGAAGATACGATCTTAGTCATCAGAACTGCTCATTAGCATCTCTTGTTATCCTCCCTGTTCTCCTCACAGTGGATATTTTGACCTATGTGGCCTGGAAGATCAGTGGCTTTCCTAAACACCGTGTTATCGGTAGCGGCTGCAATCTGGACTCCGCCCGCTTCCGCTACCTCATGGGAGAAAGACTGGGCATCCACTCTCTGAGCTGCCATGGCTGGATTGTTGGAGAGCACGGAGACTCTAGTGGTAAGTGTAAATTCTGGCTGTCTTTTACTTGGATTTTTTTTTCCTATACTTTGGTTTGCAAGAAATATCACCTGCAAACCCTATAGCACAAAATTGCTCCCAAAAATCTTTGCACTGCAGCAACTTAATGCAGGTCTAGCTTTAACTCTTCTGCAGCATACAGTAACCTTAGATGTTCTATATTTGACTTGAGTTACTCTGCTTGGAAAAGGTCATTCCTGTAACCTAAGGAGGCTAAAAATTTCTGGGCTAGGTGGTTCCCATAACTCTCCAAAAACCAATCTGAAGTAGCAGGAGGGTGAAGTTCTTTACAAGGGACTCCCAGAGATCTGTACTAGATCTACTGGTAGTCACTGAGTTGTAATCATGAGATGCCAGTGCAGACTCCAAGAAGTATATTTAGGAATTGAAGTGCAGAGTCAAGTCTAGACAAGGAGGGGAGAAAGAGCAATGTTCCCCTTACTTAACCTGCACTCTCTCTATCTGCAGCTGAGCAGCACTGTCTGCTTCCAGATATCCTGTAGGACTCCTTTGGAATCGATTTTTAATTTAGAGAAACCTTTGCAAAAGACAAGAGTTGCTGTCATCTTAGTTCAGCTTTCCCAAAGCAAAATACCTAAACAAGGTATCTTCAAACCCTACAACATCACGTATAAAGAAAGATGGATATTTGTTCCTAGGTTATTAGCCCATAATTTGGATTGGGCTCATAGGCCAGAGGACATCTAAAGTCATATCTAAAACATAGCAACACTTCAATGACAGATGAATTCAACTAGACACTATGCTAACTGTTAATTCTGGGAGGACAGAACTGAGATTTTTCTTGTGGTTGGGGAGAACCTTCACCTTGTGAGATGGCTAATCTGTGCAACTCTTAAGTACCTGTCTGGAGCGGAGTGAATGTTGCTGGCGTCTCCCTGAAGGCTCTTCATCCTGAGCTGGGAACTGATGCAGACAAGGAACACTGGAAGGAGGTCCATAAGCAGGTGGTGGACAGGTAACTTTTTTTCCTCTCAACATAAGAGCAAATAATGAAGAACTATAACAGCTCTGAAATGCAATATTTGTATCTCTTGTAAATATTCATCATAGTAGCAAACATGAAAACACAGAAATAATACAGCTTGAAATAATGTTTTAAGTAGTAATAAGCATTTGTTAGTAATAATATAGATTTGGCAGAAATTAATTTTCCATGGTTAGTGATTTTAAAATTAGGAAATGCTTTAACTTCAAGTGTCAAGTGTTTCTGAGGGGAGTAGTGTACTACATGTATAAGATTTTTTTCATTGCATTAAGTTTATTTCAGTCCTGTCAGCAAATTAGTGAACCCTGTGATGTTGCCAAATTCTCTTAGGCATTTCCAAAAATCCTTTCTTTAAAACTTCAAATAGTCCATTTCATGTTGTTTGTTTTTTTAATAAGTAACTTTGTCTGTGCAGTGCCTATGAGGTTATCAAACTGAAGGGGTACACCTCGTGGGCTATTGGCCTTTCTGTGGCAGATCTAGCTGAAACTGTTATGAAGAACCTAAGGAGAGTGCATCCAGTCTCTACAATGGTTAAGGTGAGCAGCCCTCCCCACCCCCAAATTTTTATGCCTTACTAAAAACTAAACTTGGAGGCTCTGAAGGTAAGTGATTACCTTGGTTAACATCTTTTTCCAGAAGTTCCAGACACTTGACATTATTCTATCCACAAAGCTCAAATAATGTGTAAAATAGACACCCATGACACTTAGCCTATCCTTATCTACTTTTCAGGGCATACATGGAATAAAAGATGATGTCTTCCTAAGTGTTCCTTGTGTACTGGGTAGCAGTGGCATCACTGATGTAGTAAAGATGACCCTAAAATCTGAGGAAGAGGAGAAGTTACGGAAGAGTGCAGATACACTCTGGGGAATCCAGAAGGAACTTCAGTTTTAGATCTGTCCAAGCAGTTCGCTGTTTGCAGTTTAATGGATTTAGTGGTTTGTCTTACGTTGCACTTTCCAAGTAGGTCAAATCCTTCAGTGTATGCATCTCAACTAGAACACACAAAAAAGCTAAAACCCGAACAAATTGGTTTCCTGAAAACAGTATTAGGAAACTACTCTAGGGTTTTCCCTGTTCACAGATACCTATGTTCCTAACCAGAGCTAGATAACAACCTAATCTTGTATGGTAAAGTGGTGTGACAAATCCAGCATTCAAAACAGCACTGCCTGGAACCCCCTCTGCCTTTTCTTCACCTGTTCAGTGTTAGTTCAGAACAACAGGTAACTGGTTATTACACAGTGTGAAACCAAAGACTCTCTTCTTGCAGTTAAAGGATTGTCAAACCAACTGACCAACCTTCTCTGCCAGCTGAATAGCTTAAATATTTCACTGTTGGTAGGTCCAAATATATTTTCCTAACACTGCTTTGGAATTTTTGTGTATACCATTTTTTTAGAGAACCTTATTTTTGTGTACTCTCTCTCAGAGTAGTTGTAAATTTGTCTCCTAAACTTGTTATTGAAAAACCCCTAATGTTTCTATATGCAACAAGACAACAGCTGTCCAACTGTAGCACCAGCTCCAACACCAAATAAATCATGAACTATTATTTCAGTCTCCTTGTTTTTTGTATGTGGTTCATATCTCCAACATACAGCTGCCCTGGAAACCATCTGTATTTACATTGTTTGAAAAAAGCCCACTTCTTTCCTTAGTGACACTAAGGCAAACCTCACCTCTGTAATAGTTATGGAGGCAGCTACTCTGCTGTAGGCTCTAGTTACTTTCATAGAGAACTTACACCAGAGAGAGTTCAGAGCGTGAGAGGTGTTCAGTACTTGGGACTTAAATTTGATCCTCATCTTTACGTCAGAGCCCCTTTCTTTGCACTATTAGTTGAGTGCAGAACCACCTCACACACAGCCCAAAGTAATTGTCTTCCTTACCTCCATACACAAAAGTATCTGTAGGAACAAATCCCCTCCTGTAATGTCCCTGACATCCATAACAGTAAACAGTTGCTGCAAGTACAAAAAAAGCAGCTCTTTGGGAATTACTGCGCTATTCAAAATAGCACCTACAGAGAGGAAACAAAGACCAAGTTATGCCTCAAAATCCTTAAGTACATGTTAGATGTGGAAAAAGGAAGAATTAATTACCTTCTGTCGCAAATACTTGCAAACAACATTAAATTAAGAGGGAAAAGCACTACTATTGGCTTTTTCCTACATTAGGATACACAATGTGGTTTAGGAACATGACACCTGATTGAGTCAAAAGTAGACTTCTAATGCAGATACTGCTCAGAACAAAGTATTTTAGAGTAAGCTGAAAGGGGTTGTGAAGTAACTTAAGAAACAAAGGAAACTGTAGTTGACTGTATACCTTAGATACACGTGACCAAAGTTAACAGCTGGAATGAGAGCATAAACAAACATTGACCATGCACAGTTAGGTTTTATGCAGATGACAAGATAATGGTATGAATCCATTTTCATCTTCAAAGCTTTCAGAAGATGCACAGGACTTGCAATCTTGCAAGTCCTTGGTTGGATCTTGGTTGGATCAGACCAAGAAACCAATTTTCAAGCTAGCTTTGCTGAGGCAGCCCACAGGTCTTAACCCGCACGAGCAAACCGACAGGGACAGCAGCAGGCTGCTGAGAAGCGACACGAGCAGCACTGTGAATCTCTAAGGCGGGCCAAATTGGAAGATGCTCTCCTGCACAAGTCACACTCTTCTGCACGCTGCGCCACGTTTGACTACCAGGCTCCTTGGTAAGAGTGCTGTCCCTGTTACACAGCCAGTCTGCTGCATGCAGTTTTCTGCCTGGCAGGTAGTGTAACGGCAAATGTAGAAGACCGCCTGTTTTTCCTAGCATTTCTGCAATCTGATGGTAAGGCAAGTCACTATAACAAAGATCACTTCAAGGAAACAGAATCCCTAGATGTCAACAGCATGATCAAACAGTGGGGCCTTGAAATCGAGTTTCTGGCTTTCAGTGGTCATAACAAAGCTTAGCTACACTCAAACATGCACATTTTTTTGGCTTGGGACACTGAAACATTTTCCAAGTCTCAGAGGTAAAATAAAGGTCTGGTTAAATCACCACTGTGTAAGCTGGGCCTGTCTGTAAAGAAAGTGCATTGTACTCAGTTCTGTAGAGGAAGAAAATATGCAACAAGTTTTATTCAGCGTTAAGTCCACCAGCACAAAGATTACAGGAAATAGAAAGTGCATTAATAAAAGCTAGTCTTTACCAAAAAGAAAATATATTATTGATTCAAAATATCTTACACTTGAATGATGTAATAACTTATTCTGGGCATCTACTGATTAAGAGAAAGATCAAGAGACTGGCTGCTTCATAAGGAAATCTAACTCTCCGGTTAAAGTCTGAAAATTTAGTAGAGATCGCTGAGGCCAGCAGTCTTCCTTGCTTTCTGCATTAATGCCCTCAGCTGGAACTGCTTGCGAGACAGAAGACGTACATGCTGCAGAAAGAAAAAATAAGAACAGCTACAAACTGAGAAAGCTCTGAAACAACAGTAATCACATGGCAAACCAAATTTTGAAAGCATGACCCATTCCATGACCCAAACAAGATATTTATTTTTGGAAGCACTAAAAGCATTAGTTCACAGCGTTTTCTTGGCTTAGGATAACTTTTCCAAGGGGTTACCAAATGCAATCACTATAGTGTGTTTTTAGTGATTTTAATAATTAACTCTTAACATATTCTTATCAAAGAGAAAAATAATATGTACTCCAAGGTGAACTGAGGTCAAAGAGCAATGCACCTCCTGTGGGAGAGAGAACAGTTCTTTCAACAGTAGATGAATTTAATTAGCAAGCCACCTACAGAAGTGACATGTCTCAGTGCGTTGCACACTGGACGTTAAAAGCAAAGCTAAAGAGGTGAGCCTTGGGGAACCTGAACTATTAGAAAAAGGAAGAACTGGTAACAGTTGTTATGGGGTGGCCCCAGTGCAGACTGTCATACTTTTGAACACTCCTCTTTTCAGATCCAATGGCAATATTAACTACTCTTACCAAAAAAAAAAAAAAAGAAATTTAATTCCAAGTTAATAAGTGTTTTTAATGTTTTCAAAATAGCCATAGATCTGTATTCTATGTCCATAGTCAACAGCACAGGAAATGTTCAAAATAAAGCCAGATTGTTAGATCTGACATTATGAAAACTTTTAGCATTAAGGACAGCAAAAAAATGGAATAAATTGTCTAGAAAGACCGACCTCTGCTAGAGATGCAAAATTAGCTGACTTCTCCAGGTATCTCTCTGCCTTTTTTCTTTTACGATTCTAACACTCTCAACTGGCTGCATCAGCAGAGGCACCCACAGACTGCAAGTGGAAAGCTGATTGAATACTCTGGCCCCTCTAAAGTTAGTTTCTCCAAAATTAGGATTCAAGTCCAATGGAAAGCTTATGTTGACACTATCGCACCTGTCTAATGATAAAAGACTTCATGTCTGTAATGCTTTTAAATCGGTCCTTTATCTTAATTCTAGATTTCCTCTTTTAAAACTTATGTTCCAACATGTAAGTATTTCCATACTTACCAGCTCCCCTTCAGTGAAGGGAGCACTAAGACTAATAAGCTGAACACAGGAGCTCAAGCTATTTAAAATGCATGTTTTAAAATGCCTCAAGAAGCCTACCTTTAAAAAGACATCTAGATCTATCACTCCCCGTCTCAATGCTTCCCCCAGGTAAAAGATGGTGTCTTCAATGGCATTTTCCTCTGCATACAAGTTCAGGATCTGCTTGTAAAGTGGTGCCGTAGGAATAATAACTTCATCTATGTCATTATTTTCTGACTGACTTTCCATTTTTTCTAAGGCAGAACTGAGCTCTTCATCCTTCTTCTTGAGAAGTTCAATGTTCTTGTCGACTTCAGCCTGTGAACATTTCAGATGTTTATTTCATAGTTCTTAAGGAGCAGAACGTCTTCCTGCTACACCACTGTTAAGACGAAAGATTTTTAGAAATGCTGGTTCATTCTTTACTTCTCTAGCCGTTTCATTATGATTTGACAAAAGAAAGAGTTACCATTCTATAGGCTTGGGACACTTCCAGTTAAAAAGCAAAAGTTGTTTTAGGCTATAACGTCAATCCATTACTGATTCACAGTTTTCTAAGGAAACTGTGACTCAAATTAGTTCCTCTGTAGTAAGACACTGAAATGCTCTCCAGTGCTTCACACGTTATCATCTGGAAACCGAGACAGAATTATGAAAAACTCAACACCACTGACATCATCTTTCTTGGGCATGAAAGGGAAAAATATCAGTGCTGTTCCTCTACTATTGAACAATGATATTTGTCAGAGACAAAAACAGGCCAATGTCTTCTAGGGTCACAGCTATCTCTGACTTGCTTTCTGTCTGAACAAGTGCACTTCAATGTAAAAAGAGAATATATATTTTAAAAGGAATATGCTGAAAGCTTTGATATTTGTACTATGCTTAATATGAACTAACCACACGCTTCTGTTCCCTACTGAAATACTCAGACAGGGAGCTGTGTTTCATCTCGGCTTACCACTTCCTGATCGAGGCGCGTTACCATCTCTTCCAGTTTCTGGTGTCCTTTCTTCAAGTCCTCTTCTGTCCGTTTCAAGGCATTGAGTTCGGCTTGTGCACGATCCATTTCTTCTTTCATTCGCCATCTCAATTTGTCACTGACTGCTGAAATAAGGGAAGCTCGAATGGTATCCTCACTGATGGTTCCATCTCTACTGGGCCCTGTACAGTAAAATTCATAAACAAAAATCAACTGTCTGCCCTGTCTTCAATATAGGCCTGTTAGAAAAAAGTGGCTACGTTTATCTATCTTTTTTGAGAATACAAGATAATAAAAAGAACTCTTTTGCCATAATAACTTTCAGGAGCAAGGAAGAGGTCACAGTGAGATACAAAAACTCATTAATTCCCTTTATTATCACCCCCGTCCCACACACATTCCCCCTAATTCCCATATACCCAACCTTCCTTTATTTTAAAAATGGGCTGGTCATTTCCCTCAAAATCTACACATATTGTTAGCCTGAATCTTTAAAAGACAACTGAATTTCTGGTAGATGCTAGAGGAATTAGCACATACACATGTTCGACCGTGATTGATTTAACAGCTGCTTAAGATAGTGAAGTTGCCTACAGGTATCCTAATTTTGAGGCTTTCCAATTATGCTGTTCATTAAGATTAATGAAAGGTAAATGCACGCTAGCTAAGCTAACAAAAAACAATGACAATAAAAAAAGAAGTTAACTCATTGCCCTTTTACATTTATGAAGACGTAAGAACAGTATTAAGTGACTAAAAAGCTGCAAGATCATCTATGCTTCCCAATCGGTTTCACAATTGTCATTATCATTCAGCCTCCCTGGGGGAAAGGATGGGAGGGCAGACAAAAAATTAATATAGAATATTCATCATTGTATTCAAGCAGTCTTCCTTTCACAAGCAGCATTTATTTAAGATCATATGGCAGACAAAGAAATGCTAATCAATCACTATTAGTATATGGTTTATAGAAACCTTCTAGCAGACTAAGATCAGATGGCACACTTTTGGTAGGTAAATACTCAGTGTTACACTGGGCCTATCATTTCTTCTTCTTCTCTCTCTTTTTTTTTTTTTTTAAAAACTTTTAAAAGATGGTATCTTAACTTGGGAGGGGGAAGAGCCAAGGAAGAGTGGTTTACAAAATAAGCTAAAGGCACCCCTGAACACCTTGTAACTATTTTTCCTGGCTCCAATACTTTTTTTCATGCTAGCTGAATAAAAAAGAGTATTAGTCAAGAACACAGATTCTGTGAATTTAAGTATGCCATTTGATTCTAAACAAAAATAAAAAAAGTAAAAATAGCTATTTTAGGTAAGAAAAATAAAAACACAAAGATACACAATTTGACTGCAGGTATACTAATTTGTAAGTGTCACTTGGTTCATCATACCCCAAAACGTAAAATAGTGATGCAAATGCCCCCACCTGATCTGACTTATATTTCTCAAGCCATTCACCCTGTTGCCAGTCAAAAAGATCATTTGCAATATTTCGTCATCTATTCGAATCAGCAACAAAAACTGTCAGATGTCACCACACACAAAACCAGGAATCTATCATCACTGCTTCTATGAAAAGGAGAAAAAGACAGTGCTTCCTATACTGAGGAGTAAAACTTAAACCTAGCCAGCCTTAAACCATCAGGGACAAGCAGTTTATTCACTGTTCAGGACTTTCCATATAAGGCAGTTAGCTGCAAATATGCAAGTTCCTAACCAAAACAGAAAGATCAGATCTCACTTCAAAAACCAGCATTATCATGATTTCAGTTACTGTTTTCTTTACACAATGAATTATTTCATGAGGCAAAGCCACAACCAGCAATCAGCTCTACTTGTTTTTTGTTCTCTCTCACTCTGGCAGGTTTTAGACAAGGCTCACTTGAACAATAAAGCGAAAGGAAGGAAAAAAAGTCACAACACACCTAACACACAATGACATTTCAGATAAAAAGTAATAGCAAATAGGAAAGAGCTCTTTGCACATGTAAGGGATCATTTAAACAGAGCTGAATTAGATTCTGTATGTCTTCTTAAAGAGCACGAACCCTTAGCATTTTCTGTCACTTCCATAATTAGCCCAGCTTGGGGAAGACTGTATGGCACGTTGCCATTAAATTCACAGAGCACTGAAACCTTTACCTTTACACTAAGCCTTAACCTTTATCAGGCAGGGTCTGGTTTCACAAGTGACCTTACAGAAGCAGCAAACTAGCAACTGAATCAGAAAGATAATTAATAGCAGAAAGAAAAACAAACAAACAAAACCTACAGGACTGCTTCAAAACCAGGATATTAATAAAAACTCAAGCCACTTTGAACAAGTATTTTCATTCAATGCAAACTAAGCTCACTGAAGGAAACACACCTCGACACACACAGTTCCTGACATGTCCCTAAATAAACTATGACAAATCATAGCACAACAGCAACAGAAAGTAATTTACATAAGAAACAAACACTGGCAGTTGAAAGGAAAAAAGTTTACTATAAACACACAGCGTGATTAAAGATCCGTCCTTCTTTGCATTTCATTCAGCACACAGATAAACCAGGTCTAGCAAGTATGTGACTTTTACCCAGCTGCAACAAATGAATTAGCCTAATGTTAAACTGCCACTACACAAATCTGCTGTCACAACATGATAGATGATGATCTAATCCAGAAGTTGAGAAAAGTCTTCGGCAGTACTGGCAGATACTCCAACCCTGTTCGTCTTCACTGGGGATGAAAAGGAGGAAAAGAAATGAAATAGGATGTACCTGCATTTTGAATTAACTCTGTACTACATATAAAGCAAAATTGGATTTTTTTTTTTTTTGAGAGAAACACTGCAGAAAGTTGATGCTCCCTAAAAGGGTTTTTAACACCTTACTGCATGTCTGACATTGAGAGGCAGTGAGGACTATCAACCTCACGCACCAAACAACAGCCCCCCAAGCATGGGTACTGTTTAAGCTACATAGCCGGAACAGCAGCTTTCTTGTAGTGTGCATGGCAGACACACGGACAGATACACCTCAGAGGCGAGATGACCACCAAAACGGTCAATGATTTTCTGAATTAGAAAAGCCTTTTCTGAAAGCTGAAAGAATTTGGACACACAGAATGAGATCAGGCACAAGAAGAGTACAGCATAAGACTTTCCATCGTTTGCAAATTATGTATGAACAAGCTCAAAATATTTTAAGAGTAAACACACCTAGCTTCCTCTGCCAAGCTGTGAACTTGCTTTGTCCCCAGATGGGCGAATGAAAACCTCAAAATACAGTTCTGAAATGTGCATGAATAACAGGGAGCTTGCACAGTAAATTAAGAACCTACAGGTGCAGTTTTAATTATGGTGCAAGAGATTACAAATGATCGACATTGTTCAGAACGTCACAGAAGGGTCTGCACTCGCCGCTCCAAAAGGACTATCACTCCACTTCAAAGTTACCACATTACCTTCCTACTTAGTTGCGTGGTCTATTTCACTGCTTTCCAATCCCACACGCGCACGCTTACCCGAAGTGAGGCTCAGAGGAGAAACCAGACTAATGTGTTTTGCCAACACAGGGCTACTGAGCAGCAGACTGGTAAAAGAGAGTCGAGATCTTGATCTCCATTAACAAGATC